GTGAGACACATGGTCAATGTGGAAATCATATTCTTGACTTTTCTTATTTGGGGGAAGGGTATGGAGATAAAAATAGATTTTTGCTACTTGGAAACAAAATTTTAAATGAAGCATACAAAAACTCTCATGGTGTGCTTGTAGCTTTGTGTCACCCCACCTGAGGCTTACAGCAGTTCCTGCTTCACCTCCAGGTTAAGGGCTTCTTTATGCAAGGTCCACACAAATCACTGGGAAATCCCAGGAGAAACTTCCTTCCAGGCAGATAGCAACGCATTTGTGGTGATTCTTAGGGCTCAGACTTTGAGCAGACCAGTTTATGAAGGGAGTCCTGTAAAATAAGGTTGGAAAGGGTATTGGATCCTCGGTTCAGCAGGGAGCCACGGAAGGGAATGATAGGGTCAGACATCTGCTTTAGCAATATCAGTTTGGCTGCTGTACAGAGGATAGAGTAGAGAGGAGGAAGGCTGGAGGCAGGAAGACAAGCTAGCAAGCTACAGCCGTCATCCAGGTGAGCGAGGATTAGAGCTTGTCACAGTTTAGGGGAGCCGAGAGAAGAGGAAGGAGGTGGGAGATGCTGCAGGGACAAACGCGATGAGATTAGATTTGGGGGAGAGGAGGCTCCTTACCTGGAGTACCTCATGTCTCTCTGTGTCCACAAGAACAGGGTGAGAGATGATCCCTTGGTGACATCTACTCACGTACCTCTATCAAGTTTTTGTGGGTCCTCCCAACTGAATTTGCTTTTGATTCGACTTATTACCATATTCATTCTCAACATCCCGAGTTCATAGAAACTCATACAGAGGTATGATTGGATATTTCCTCATTAATTGCTAAATTGCAGCATCTCCCTCATTGATTAATCAATTAAGCTCAGAGCCCCAACCCTATTAAAACCTGTTTCATATCTTTATAATTCTCCAAACTACTGATTGCCTAGGATTAAATCAATATTAAGGTTACCAGCTATGCAATTTATCAACAAAACTGCCAATAATAATGGACACAAATAGTTATCTACAAGATTTCTGGTTGTTGGAAGGATCATAGCCAGAGTCCTCACTGTAACGAACTGAGTACTGGGACTGGAGTCACATCTGATCTCCTCATCCTTTTTCTCTCTGTCTTCTTGACATCTCTTAAACCATCTAACCCCTCACCTCCTCATTTCCTACCTGGCTACACTCTATAACAAATGGAGATGTTTTAAATGTTGTAGATAAGTCCCCTTACCTTGGCAATATGTTTTTCAGGGATGTCCACACTGATAATGAAATTGACCCACGCATTGCCAGAGCTGGCTCAGTGTTTGGGAGGCTCCAAAGGAAAGTGTGAGAGAGAAGTGGTAACAAGATGCCTACTCAACCGGAGGTCTACAGAGCCATGTGCTGACCTCCTTGTTGAATGCCTGTGAAACCCTGGGCAGTCTAGCAGCGCCATGCCAGGAAACGGCATCGCTTCCATCTGAATTGTCTTAGGAAGGCTCTGAAGATCACCTGGCAGGAGAAGGTGCCAGACTCTGAGGCCCTTTCTGGAGCTAAACTTCCAGGCATTCAAACTCTACTGCAGAGAGCCCCACTGTGATGGGCGGGCCACATTGTTTGAATGTAAAATGTACCCTTGCCTAAAAGACTATTTTATGGAGAGCTCACAGAAGGCAAGTGTTCACATGGGGGTCAGAAGACGCAATACAAGGACACTCTCAAGGTCTTTCTGAAGAACTTTGGAATCGATTGGGAGACACTGACACAGGACCTCTCGGCATGGCGTGTCCTCATCAGAGAAGGTGCTGTGCTCTGTGAGCGAGGCAGAATTGCAATAGCTCAAAACAAATGTGAGAAAAGCCCATTTAGAGCCATCTCCATTCCAAATGTTCACGTGGACCATTTGTGCCCGACCTGTGGTAGAGCCTTCTGAGCTCCTATTGGACTGATCAGCCACAGTCGGGCACACTGGACCCTGACCCCGATTTAGTGATGTCATTTTGGTCTTCTTCAAGCACAAAGGACCACAACCAACACTCTACACACTTTCGGACTTCTCCTTCATTGGGAAATCTCATCATCCTGCAAGATCCCCTTATCTTTGGTCCCTTCACCTCATCACTACCTTCTGCCCCTCTGATCTGGAGAGCGGAGCCATGAACTCCCAAATGTCCGTTTATGGAGGGGGCCCAGGCCAGCCCTCTCTTCATTTCCCACTGCCTCCTTTGGATTTCTCTTTCACGCCCCACACCAGGTACCTCCTCCCCCTCTCCCTTTTCATTTTTCTTTTTATGCATTGTCTTCCCCCGTTAGATTGTAAGCTCTTTGAGGACAAGGTCTAGCTTTCTTGGTGGATTACTTTATTGAAAACATCTCCCTAACTCTTTCTCCCCAGTTTTCTCAAAAACTACTAAGCTCTAATTGCTAAACCCTCAACATTCCATCTGGTTCTTAAAGCTACTGTACCAGTAACTCTAGCCTCTGTTGGGCTTTGTGAGACAGGTGTTACACAGCATTTCCATGATCTTCAAGTCTTGGTAATATGTCAAAAGAAGAAATGGGGCAGCTAGGTGGCACAGTAGTTAGAGCTCTGGCCTTGGAATCAGGAGGACCTGAGTTCAAATCTGGCTGCAGACACTTGACACTTACTAGCTGTGTGAACCTGGGCAAGTCACTTAACCCTGACTGCCTCACCAAAAAGCAAAAAAAAAAAAAAAAGATGAGAAATGAGGTCTGTCCAGCATAACTTCTTCTTAGCAATCACTGGCTTTCTAAATGTTTCCAAACCATTCCTTTAACAATTAATTCTAGAATTTGACAGGAGTCAAATTCCCTGTGATCATGTGAGTCTACTACGGAAACTGGAAAGAAGGTTTGAGCCTTCCTCTCAGGGCTGGCTCCTGAGGGATCCCTCCAGTTTTCCACAGTTGTTAAAGGTTCCTGTTTACTTGGCCCTGCAGTCACATCCATCACAGATTGTTATGGGACAGCATCTCTCTGCCAGTGTGTGGAGCACCTGATGAGGTAGTTCAGCTGAATACGGCCACTTTTTCCACATTGATCTCTGCTCTCAGGGCCATGTGGGCCATTGCTGGTCTACCCTTAGAATCATGGTCACCTCCTTAGAAGAGGAAGCAGGAGCAGAGTGCTGTGTTATTCCGCCTTCTCTCCATCCCCTGAGCTTCCAGCTGAGCATCCCCCATGAGTCAGAAAGCCGCCCTGGTCATCTCAGCATGCGTCAGTGAGTTTGTCCATGGCCCTTGGGCATTCATCCTCAGTGACCTGACCTCCCTTCCACCTTCTCTAAGTCGTTTGGTGAGCTCTCTGTGCAGCCACATCAATCTCTTTTGAGAGTGACTCTTTTCTTCCTCATTAGAATTATGTCTGTGTATCTTTAGAAGGGATTCTTGGGGCAGCTAGGTGGCACAGTGGATAGAGCACCGGCCCTGGAGTCAGGAGGACCTGAGTTCAAATCTGGCCTCAAGCACTTGACACTTACTAGCTGTGTGACCCTGGGCAACTCACTTAACCCTATTGCCTAGCCAAAAAAAAAAAAAATGTAGTCTTGTTTGTTTGTTTTTTAAAAGCAGTTGGGGTTAAGTGACTTGCCCAAGGTCACCCAGCTAGTAAGTGTCAAGTGTTTGGTCTGAGGCTGGATTTGAACTCAGGTCTTCTTGACTTCAGGGACGGTGCTCTATCTACTGCACCACCCAGCTGCCCCAAAAGAATGTATTCTTGAAAGCTGTCTATCCCATATATGACCACTTCTCTTGTGAAATCTTAAGCCTTGGCACCCTATATTTCCTTTCTATCTAGAAGAGTCAACTTTGAACACATCTCTCCCAATAGCCAGGGTTATGTCCCACTGTGCCCAGCTTTCCTTTTCTCCACCATTAATTCTAAGATGGACTGGTCACTTCTTGCCAAGGGTCCCATCTTTTCCATTCCAGCGCCTTGGCAGAGACAACCCCCTGTTTTTTTCCTCAGCTTCCACTCCAGCCTGCATCCCCATCTCTTCCATGCAAGAAACTCGGACTCCACCCTGGGAACGTGATAGCCGAGGTTTCTTTACATCCTCTGCTTCCCAGCCACCGGGTCCAAACCGAGGGGCTGTGTGCACGGTCTCACACCCTCCTTCCCCTTCCTGGCTTCCGTCATGCGGCTTCTCCCGTGCAGAGATGTCAGCTCATGTCAAACCCATAGCTCACAGGCCCCTCAAACTCCAGATTAAAATGTCGAGGGAAAATGTCTAACAGAATAAAGAAAAATACAATTCAACAGAGATCATGTTAATTGGTGGTTTTCTAAGTCAGTTCTATAGTGGCCTATAGAATTATTTGGCTTGGAGTTTGTCACCACTGGCCTACAGGACAGAAACCGTCTCGCTTGTATGTGCATCCTGAGCGCTTGGCATATAGGAAATGCTCGGTACCTGGTCCATCGGCCTATCTATCGTCTGTCTTCTGAAAGGGTGACCTTTCCAATAGGGTAAATCATGGATGTTCTGGCCATCGTGCTTTTGGCAGAGAGAAGCTCTGCACACTCATAAGTCCTGAGAATGAAAGCGCCTTGCTTCAAATCCTGGCTATGCCTGCTACGGCTTCTGCTTCCTCATCTACAAAAGGAGACGGTCGATCTCTGACACTAGGCCTGGGTAATAGATGCATCTTGTCACCACAATCACTCCACACTGCATTTGTGATGTTTTCTCTCCTCATCTATTTCCTCTTTCTGCCTGTGTGGTCTGCAGTCTACTGCCATGAAAATGTTATTTTGCTTCTCCCTTCATTAATCTTCCTTAACAAAGCTCTCCTCAGATTCCTAGATTTCTTCTCATGAGTAGGAAGCAGTATAAAAGAGATGATGTGGTGATCACAGCTGTCCAGGAACTCCTATTTGCCCCCTTACCCTTCTCCTGATTAATTTTCCAGAGGGATTTCCCAGTAAAAAATTTTCTTTCTCCACTCTGGGAAGAGGTATCAAAGATAGATCATTTTCTTTTTTCTTTTTCTTTTCTTAGCTCCAAGCCCCCAGCCAGAGACAGAGCTTTTGACAAAAAAAAAAGAAAATCACTTTTAAATCTGTCTTGATCTCTTCTCTGGGGATGTTTCCCCTTCGGTTGCCTCCTTCTTACGGTATTCCCAATAAAGACACAATTGGTGTGGTGTCAATCAAGACAAATCAAACATTTAAAACAACACAACAGAAAAGGTAAACAGAATTTCCTTGTGCCCAGAGGGAAAGGCTTCAGGCTCCCATGAAGGAATTCAAAGGAAGCAAGGAGAAACAGGTTTCCTTTGGTGTGTGTGTGCGGACAAGCATAATTCCTTCAGTCTTCATTGCAAAGCCCTGAAGCCAGATCAGATGTGCAAGACTCTAGGTAAATCTATTTATACCAGCCCTTTTTAGGCATTTCCTATTCCTGGCCAGAGCTATCATTTCTAAGTTTTAAATTGAGGGTCACAAATGCAAATCGCAGTATTAGAAACCTTCTTGACTTTCTCTTTGGAAACCATGACTTTTAATTGGCCAGGGTGATGAAAACATCAGCTGTGCCCTGAGACGTCAGTCTTGGTTTTTTGCACAAGACTTAACAATTGCTGGCTATGTTTCCCTGGTTCTCCATGTGAATCACCCGAAGTAATGAGTGGAGTGGCACAGAGTTGTCACTCCAGTATTCTCTCAGGCAACAGGAACAGCTTCTTGGGGGTGGGAAGAGAAAGAAAAGAAGAGAGAAGAGTAGGTGAGATGGACTTTGGGGAATGAGGCAGCCTTGACGTTAGACACGGAAGGAGCAGGCTGTCGTCCGCCTTGGGTTAGGGGTCGGGGTCCAGGAACTGGTCCAGGTGGTATCGTCCATCTACCTCAGAATCCCCCCCCTAGAATGGGCTCAGGTTAAAGCTTTTATACAGGACGGTATCTGTGACCTTGGGACAATGAAGGAGTTTCTCCTTCCCACCTACAGCGATGGGTCCCCACCCACCATGCTAAAACTGCAGCCCACTCCCCTGGCATTTTCAGGCGTGGATTACTCGGCACAACTGAACATCAAAGCTAGGAGAGTGTCAGGCGTGGTGGCTGTGTCTCCACCCAACACAGACGACCGTCTGGGGGGAGGGATGAGTCTGGTCTGTTCAGGAGGATGGAGACAGGGTGTTGAAGTCTGGGGTGGGGTATATGGCCTCCAGAATTGAGGCCCTGAATGCACCACAGCTGTTCTCCCTGGGTCTCCACCTAATGCCACGGCTAGGACATGCCCCTGACTAGAAATGGGTTTCTGGGGCAGGCGATGGCTGTGGGCTGTGGCCGCTTTTTTTGACCTGACCGTGGCTCCTAGGTTCCCAGTTTCTCCGAATGGCCTTGCTGCTGCCGCCCAGGGACGTGCTGGATAACTTCATATATTGTGCCGTAGACCTCCTGCCTGGGGCCCCACTCAGAGCCACAAATGGGCCTGCTGGGTGTCTAGAAGATAGATCAATAGAGCATTCCTGAATTTAGTAATCGATCACGATGGGCCAGGCACAGGCGTCATCATGCAGGCGGAGCCCAGCAGGCCGTGACCAGGCCAAAAGTCTAATCGTGCCAGACGCTGCTCGGGGCCTCGTGCTGGGCTGGGCTGGGCTGGCTCCTGTGCTGGTGGCTGTGGCACCTGGGAGCCTTCTGGGGTCTGGGGAGGTCAGACCTGGCCTGCCCCAGACTCGGGGAGCCCTGCCACCAGCTGGAGGCTCTGTCTCCAGGATGTCCTCAGAAGTGTCAGACTCCTGTGCTTGAGCCCAGTTCCAAGTCTCTACTCATTGTCAGGGAGGAGTAAAGGAGGTCTGACCTCTCTCCCCCCTTCCCCCGCCCCGCCATGCCACGCCCACACTCACTCACCCTGGGAGCGGTGGAAGGCTCCGGAAAGGCAACAAATTCATAGATCCCAAAGTCAGTCAGGGCATCTTCGTGGCCTGAAAGAGAGGTCAGAGTTTCCAAGACAATCCATCAAGCACTGATTAAGTGCCCCTGCCCTTAAGGAGCTTCTATTCTATGGGGAAACACTATGGACAGAGGGAAATGATTAGGGGGAAGGGTGAGGATGAGAGCACTCACTATGGAAGATCAGGGATTCAATCAATTATTAAAGGCCTCCTGTGTACCTGGTGCAGTCCCTGCCTTTTGATAGCAGGCAAGTGGAGCAGTGGTCAATACTGGCCTTAGAATCAGGACCTGGGTTCAAATCCTACCCCTGACACTGACCAACTGTGTGACCACTGGTAATCTTTTTATCTACAAAATGGAGCTAATAACGACCCAGGAGGCTCATGGTGAGGATAGGCTGCAGAAATGGGCGCTCTTATCTCCCTTACTGGGATGCTGCCTATGCATCAGGGAATACACATGAATGCAAGGCAAAGGGGGTTGGGGAGGTATCAGCGGCGCAAGAGGGTGAGGGAGGAGCATGAGCATTCAAGGGGTGGTGGATGCCAGTGCAAAGACGCGGCGGTGGGAGATGGCACCCGGTAGGTGAGGGCAAGCAAGTCACATGGAGAGAAGAGTGATGAGGAATAAGACTGAAAGGGCAAATTGGGGCCCGTGGATGGGTGATGGCAGCCTCACGGAGGCTGAAAAGACTTTAAGCAGCCAGTGGCATCTACGGCTTTGACAGAAAATAAGGACTCCACGAGGCAGAGGTGAGGAGGGCACGCATTCCACAGCTGGTGCACTGCGTGTGCAAAGGCATGGAAGTGGGAGTTCAGGGAACAGGACATTTTGGCTGGGATCTCGAGCGACTGAAAGAAAATCATGGGAAAATCTGGAAAAATAGCTTGGAGGTAGGGAGTGGAGAACTTCAAAAAGCAGACGAAGGCGTTTGTGTTTTATCCTAAAGGGTACGGGAGCCACTGAAGCTTTTTGGGCAGGGGTGCAATAGCCAGAACTAAGAAGAGAGGGGAGGCTGGAGGCAGGGAGGCCAGTCAGGAGGCCGTGTGTCCAGGGGAGAGGAGATGGTGGTCACGTTGCAGTGGATGAGTTTGGCCGTGGATGGAGGGAAGAGTGGGGAAAGGATCTGAAAGAATGAGTTGGAACTGTGGAGAAAGGGCAGCAGGCCTGAGATGCAAATGAGATTCTTAGGAATTATCCAGAAGGCAGGTGTTCATGGAGCTGGAGCGAGGTAAGGGCTGGATATTCACATTACTTGGGACTTGTTTATGTAGCGGTGATAGCTGATGAGGTCACTAAGAGTCTCCCAGGGCAGATCGCTGGGGAGATGAGTATGACTCTGTGATAGAGACCAAAAAGCATGGTCAGACAAGTAAGAGGAGAACCAGGACAGAGTGGGGGTCAGAAGTGGGTCAGACGCCACAAATGGAATGCAGGCCATGGGATTCTACATTTAACAGAGTCCAGAGGTGGAGGCCAAAGAGGAGGCCAGGGCCTTTGGGAGGCAGTGAGAGATCGAGGCAGCAAGGACAAGAGCTCATGAGGGTGTCAGGGGTTACGTCAGGCAGGCCGAGGCCTGGGCAGGTGAGGGGAGGTGAAGGAACCTCCTGAAAGGAAGAGGAAGGGCCACGTGGGGGATTAGGGAGGGAAGGGCAGGATGAGCCAAGGCCACAGCAGCAGTGAGTCCTTGGCCGGGCGGAAGAGGAAGGGTTGTTTGCCCACGAGATGAAGCAAGACGCATTTGTAGTGATCTGGGAGCCTAGGGATGAAGGAAGAAGACGGTGGGAAGAACTCGGGCTTGGTGTTTGGCAAGACAAGGGTCCTGTCTGGGGGGTGGGGTGGGCTGGAGCAGAGCACCAGGATTAAGGTGAGAAGCCTTGAGGCAGAGGGAAAGGAGACGGGAGGTTCAAAGCCCTTTGCAGGCATGACCATGGCCATGAGAGTGGCACTGAAGGTCTGACCATCCCTGTGGGTGCCTGGGGTGGAGAGGAGACAAGTCTTGGGACACTGATGAACTACAGAGCCATGTTCCCACTGATGTCAACCCTTGATGAGGCTCTATTTGTATGAAGGCAGAGGTTGAGGGGAGGGAGGACCCAAGCAGGGACTGATCCCCTGGAGAAAAGAGGGATAAGGACTTGGAGGTAGGGAGAGCACCCCAGCAGAGCCTCTGGGACAGACGATGCAGATGGAGGCAGCAGGAGAGAGGGGCCCAGGGCTCTCCTCCTGGATCCTCTCTATACATGCAGGCTGACTCACCCCAGTAGGCTGTGAGCTTCCTGAAGGGAGGGGCTACTTAATTTTTGCCTCTGTATGCCTTGTACACAGTAGGCACTTAATAAATATCGGTCTAATTGGATTGAACTGAATCTGAAAATGCCCCCACATCACTACTGTGCCGCTGGACGAGAAATCTTAGGAGATCTGATGCTGTCCCTTCGTGAATGTCCTCTGGCCTGCACATAGGTGGGACTCAGATACAAAAAGCCCTCAGAGCTGGGAATCCCCCTCAGAGATGTGTGTGTGTGTGTGTGTGTGTGTGTGTGTGTGTGTGTGTTGTGGGGGGGGCACCTAGGTCCCAAGCTGCACGGCCCGAGACCTCCCACCTCCCTCTGCTCCTCCTCTGTAACCTCCACAAAGGGCTCCTCGTTCCAAGTAGAGATGGCCAACAGCCTTCAGCTTGACCCTTCTAGCAGACTCAGGGAGCCTCCGTCCCTTCCCGAGGCCCCCAGTCACCTACAGAGACAGTGCCAGGGAATGGTGGAGCCTTCTCGATGGCTGACAAGAGAAGGGAGCTGCCAGCAGCCCCCTTCGCCCTCTCGTCTGAAGCCGGGACATTTGCTGGGGCACAAGGGAGGCTGCCCCTGGGACCTGGAGCAACCCCAACCATCTGGAGCGGCTCATGCAGCTCGTCACCTGAAAACGTTTGTGCTTTCCCGTATTCGGATTCTGGCCTAAAGAAAAGAAACAGACACGTGCGTGATTTCGTGTAATGGGAAATACCCTCGACGCCTGCTTCGGGACCAAGGCAGCCGTGACAGAGTCCTTACCTGCGTGTGTGCTTCTGGCAGATGGCTGCAGCCGGGAGAGGGAGAGAGAGAGAGAGAGAGAGAGAGAGAGAGAGAGAGAGAGAGAGAGAGCGCATAATGAGTCACATTTGCTGCGAGGATGAAGCCAGGAAATTCTTCAAAACAAACTCGCACCTACTTTTGTGAGGTCGGCACTTGCTCCACAAGAAGAGGCCACTCATGGCCACGATCAGGAACACAGAGATGCCTGTGATGATGGCCAGGGACGACTTCCCTTTGCTGGTGACCTTCTCTAGTCCTGGGGAAGAATGGACACCCAGGGACCCTGAGCGCTTCTGCCACCAAGCCCTGCCCCGGTGCAACAACGCCGAGGTGTGACGAGGCGTTCTCGCTGAGGAGGACTTGGGATGGAGGAAGGGGATGCGCTCTACCCAACACACCGCCAAGAGAACGTTGGTGCTAAACTGCGGGCCCACGTTTCAAGGTGCTTTGGCCCCACTTACCTGCTTTTCAGGTCTGGGCCAATTTCTTGGCCGGCAGTGCCTGTCCGAGAGATAAATACACACAGACTTGAGCTATGCCGTCTCCTCTAGCTCTCATTGGAGCGACAATGGGCCGTCTTCATCCGCTTGGTTTTTCTCAAGTGCGTGGTTAGGCCAACCTCCTTTGAATGATGGGGACAACTCCTTTGGAGCCTCTGCAATGTTGCAGGACTTAATACAACCAGGAAAATGCAACCAGCAAGGGGCAGCTAGGTGGCACAGTGGATCGAGCACATGCCCTGAAGTCAGTGAGACCTGAGTTCAAATCCGTCCTTAGACCAAATACTTGACACGTACTAGCTGTGTGACCCTGGGCAAGTCACTTGACCCCAATTGCCTTTAAAAAAAATGTAATCAGCAAACTGAAGCATCTAGAGGCCCTGGCCATCTGTAGCAGAGTGCTCCACCCTTTTTTTGTGTCCTAGAGACCTTCAGCAGTCAGTCTGGTATAGCCTGTGGACCCCTTCTCAGAGTCATATTTTTAAGTAACTGAGTGGAGCACTAAATTGCAGCTAGAGGTTAATGAAAATAAGGATGCAATTGTTTTCCCATCCAGGTTCACAGACCTCCTGAATTGTCTCCATGGAGCCCAGGTGAAGGATCCCGGACCTCTCGGGACTCCCTCTTCCCTGTGGATTCCTCAGGGACGTTCTCTGTGTCAGCGGCCAACACCCCTGGGGATCCCACAGAGGGCCGGCAAGCTGGACCCCGTCTGTGCTCCTTCAGGGCCCTCTGTGTAATTTCTGACATACGCACAGGGGAAACTGTGTGGGCAAGGAATCTTCAGGGCAGCATTTCCTCCACTGAGTCAAACACTTTCTGAAAGTCACCAAACGGCGAGCTCTTTCTCCTCCACACGTTCCACCCCCTTGTATCACTGCCATAGAATCACACTGACAAAAGCCTGCCTGCCTCCTTCTCCCACCTCCTTTAAGCTACGCAGGTGTCAGGGCTGCCCTCAGGATGGGCGCTGATGACCCTCACAGAAATTTTATAGAGGAGGGGACGGTAGGTCTGTGGTTAGGGAGGCAGGGCCTGATTTTTGGTAACAATAAGGTCTGAGATTGCTTTCAAACTTTTGGTATCCTTCCCTCTTTTAGATAAATTGAGAATGGATTTCTCAATACCTTCAAAATAATGTTGCCTTCTCCAGGTGGCCCAGTGGATGGAGCACCAGGCCTGGAGTTAGGGAGACTGGAGTTCAGATCTGGCCTCAGAGACTTACTAGCTGTGTGACCTTGGGCAAGTCACTCCCCTGTCTGCCTCATTTGTAAAATCTCTCAGGGTTGTTGTGAGGATCAGCTGACCTCCTCACCTAGAACCCTCCACAGCCTCACAGCTAAGCCCCCGGAGGATTTGCAGAGATTTTCCTTTGGAGATTCTATACATGTCACTGGCCTATATTTGCTGGGGTTGAAAGGAGCCCTTTGCAGTGGTGGAGGGGCAGCCCTCTCACCAGGGCAAGGACCAAGTGCACTCTCTCCCTCTCCTCTCTCTCTCCTCTCTCTCTGTCTCTGTCTCCCTCTCTCTGTTTCTCTCTGTCTCTTTCTCTCTCTCTCTGTGTCTCTCTCCCCCCCCACCTCCACCCTCTCTCTCTTTCCTCTCTCTCTGTCTCTGTCTCTCTCTCTCTCCATTTCTCTCTCCCTCTCCCTTTCTCTCTCCCTCTCTCTCTCTTCTTCTCTCCACAGACCCTGACTGGAAGGGACCTCAGAGGTTGTCAAATCTAATCAGCTCGTTTTACAGAGGAGGAAGTTGAGGCTCAGAGGGCCTGGGAGTTGTCCAAGGTCACCCAGCTCTCCCCAGGTCCTCTGTGGCCCCAGGGTCCGAGGCACCCAGGTCAGAGCAGAGACTTTGAGTGGACTCCGTCCTCTTGCTGCCAAAGCCTCCGGGGACAGCCCCAGCTGTCCAGAGCAGCCTCGTTGGCAGAAGCCTGCGCAGATCTGCTGGAAGGTGGACGGGCCTGTGCTGGACAGGAGTCTTCTGTCCATTGAGGAAGGCCTGTCCTGGGGGCGCATGTTGCGCTCTGGGCTCCCTTCTTTGGCTTCTCTTGCCTGCTCGCTGAGCGTCTGCTCCTTTCCCAGCCTCGTGTCGTGGGCCGGGCCGTGTTGCTCTTGGGGTTATCGTCACCCCTGAGTGCCCAGGCCTGGTGGTCTATTTACCAGCTCCCCAGGGGGCTGTCCTCCTCACTCATCAGTGACTGGGCCATTTCCCAAAGTCCCCAGTGCAAACCCTCTGTGCCTGACCTTAGTTAAACAGACAAAATTAAACCGCCTATGCAAACACAGACAGGAAGAGCCCGGGCAACGCAGCCGTATGGTGCGGCTGGTGTTCCCAGGTCACGGGGAGCTGCTTCACCCTCTTGTCGGTCAGACAGTCAGTCAACAAGCATTTAGTACCCCCAGCCCAGTCTGTGTGAACTCCAGCAGAAGGCAGCAGTGCCCAAGGCTGCAGGACACAGCTGACCACGCAATGAGGACCAGAGGATGACACACAGCAGCTTTTCTCAAACAACCTGGTTGGAGAAGACCCTCTGAAAAGGGAGGAGACCCCCATCCAGGGTCAGCACAGATTCAGAAGTACTCAAATCACTTGGTGGAGATTTGAGAATGGCAGACGAATCCAAAGCAGGAACAGATGAATATTTCAAAAGCTTCCACCAGAAAGGGGCATAACAAGGCAGAACAATTCGTAAATTAATGGAAATGACTCAACACATTAAAGTCATACAAGATGCTGTGTAGCAGTGCAGACAACTCTTCAGTCATCTTCAGCAGGGAAATCAAACTTGGAGTCTTCCGCTCAACAAAAGAGTTTGATCCCATCATGGCGGAGGCTGCCTACAGAAGAGTCCAAATAGAGGAGGGCTTCCCTGGGGGGGAGGGGGGCATGAGCCAGGTCGTCTGGACGCTCCCGGCTGCTCACGGCCCGAGCACAGGGACATAGAGGAGCTTTCTGAGTGAGGCCAACACCCCGATCATCCATGTGGGACAAACCAAATGGATGAAGAACACTTGTTGTCCCGACTGCAAACGGCTGTTTGCCGCCAGCGCATGATGTCGCCGCAGTGGTCCATGGGTTGGGGACAGATACCGTGGGGGCAGAAAGCTAGGCCTACAAGTGGATAGTCAAGGGCACCATCCAGAGTGGGTGCTTGGGAAGCGCTCTCAGCTCCTTCACACGAACAAACCCTTCATGGGGCTGGGTGGCTGCAGAACGCGGAATACCAAGACCTCTGAGGAATTTGAGTGGTGGGAAATTCCGATGGGAAAGAGGCTAGAACAACTCTGGGCAGCTTGCCCAGAGCAGGGAGGGGCAGCCTCTTTCAGTGAGACCCCAGCAGTCTTAAGGGAGGCCTCCTGCACACAGAAGGAAGAGGAGGAGTGGTGCACGGGGGGTGGCCCTTGCTGAGGAGGTCACAGGCCCGTGGACATCCCATGGTACACGTAGCATCCCATGAAAGGAGCCCATGGGGAAGGCCATCCTAAGGCATACCTGCCCTTTGGAGATGCTCAGAAATACTAAGGCAGCAATTCACAGTGACCCTCATCGAAGCCTCTGGACTCACCTGAAAGAGGAGTCTCTCTCTCTCCCTATCAATTCCAGTGCAAGATTCCTCTCCAAAATCACTGGGGCGTGACTAGGGTGACGATCAGAAGGGAGAAGTGTCTCTGGTTACTTTGGTTACTGGAAGTCTCTCTCGAGGTCACCAACTGGACAGGAGGAGTAGCTTCAGGACCCTTATTCTCCAAGGGCGTGTGCATCCTTCTTACTCGGGTCACTGAACTTGGCCCTGAGGCCTAGAATCTCATCGATCAGTCGAGTTTTGTTTACTGCCTGGGCATATGGATGGCAATTTTCAGAGCCCTGGGTTGGCACTGTCTATCTATGCAATGCATCTTTCTCTGTCCTCTCTCTCTAAGCAGGATGCTTAGGTTAGAATAACCTAAATTAATTCATTAATGAGAGGCAGCTAGGGGGTTCCACAATGCACAAAGTGCCGGCCCAGGAGTTGAGAAGACCTGGCAAACCTGTCCTCAGACACTGAGAAGCTGGGTGACCCCAGGCAAGTCCCTTCACCTCTATCTGCCTCAGTTCCCTCATCTGTAAAGTGGAAACAACAGCATCTACCTCCCAGGATTGCCATAAGAATCAAATAACATTTGTAAAGTGCTCTGTCTGGTGCTTGGCACATAGTAGGTGCTCTGTAAATGCTCATTCCCTTCCCTGCCTCCACAACTGGCTCTTGAATAATGCAGCGCTTTTCCAGGAAGGGCCCTGCTGATGGTCTGTTCTGGCTCCAGGAGCCTCAGAGCCTCTGCTCCCGGTCCCTCCCCTCACACCCACCTGCTGTCCTTGTTTACCATCATCACAGATGGCTGATCTAGGCACAAGTCAAACAGGTTTGTTGGATTTCTCAAAAAGGCAACTGTCTGACGTGAAGGCTGTAGTCATCTGGGGTCCCTGGTAATCGGACCTTAATCAAATATTAGGAGCCTGTAGCATCAGGAAAATACTTTGGCTAAACATTAATGGAAGGCAGCAGGCAAGGGAAACAAGGCTCAACCTGTAGATTCTGGTCATTTTTCATTCAAAGAAAATAAAACCAGGCTAGAATTTACATTTGGGTTATTTTACTACTATTGATGAAAAATCCCCTAAATTCATTAAACACAGAAAACAAGGTATGGAAACAGTTGGGAAGCACAAAGAGAACCTCAGACTTTGGAGGGTCCTTGTGGTATCTTTCTGTCCTAATGCTAAACCTCTTCCTACCTGGGCCACTGAAACTTACAGAGTAGAGGCTGCAGGACCCATTTTGGGAGAGGCAGAAAGTGACAGCACAATACTCCCTCTTCCTCTTTAGGCTGCATTCCTGACTGTCCTCCTGGCCCCTCTGCAATGCTCGGAATTCTCTCCAGCCCTGGATTTCTTCACACATTAGAAACCCCTCCCCTTCCCTCCCGCCTTGCTCCCACCCTGCAGCCCCTCTCTCTCTCTGGATGGAGTGTCCTGTCCGTTTTAGGAAGGATTTCTTTGATAAGCTGGAGAATCTGGAAGGAGAGCAGCAAGAGAGGTGAAAAGCCCTCAGAACCCTGAGGGCTGGTCCTGGAGAAGAGAAGCCTTAGGGATCCCATGATTACTGTGCAAAGCTGTTACCTAGAGAGCTGATTAAACCTGTCCTGTTTGGCCCCAAAGAACAGAACCAGGAGCAATGGGGAGAAGCTTTAAAGATACAAATTTAGGTATGGCAGAAGGAAAACATCTCCCAATAGTTAAAAAAAAAAAAAAAAAAACAACCAGTCACGTCCCACTCTTTGTGACCCTATCTAGGGTTTTCTTGGCAAAGATAATAGAGAGGTTTGCCATTTCCTTTTCCTTGCTCATCTGTCAGGTGAGGAAACTGAGGTGAACAGGGTGAAGTGACTTGCCCAGGGTCACACAGCTAGGAAGTGTCTGAGGCCAGAGTTAAACTCAGGAAGATGAGTCTTCTTTATTCCAGGCCCAGTGCTCTGTGCACCATGGCATCCCCTAGCTGCCCTTCCTAACAGTTACAAGCTCTCCAATACTGAAATGGTCTGTTTGGTCCACGAGCAATGGGGGAGATCGTGGAGAGGCAGGTTTGGGTTTGATATCAAGATGAACTTCCTGCTAAGTAATGTGCTCTGAAGGGGGAGGGGTGGCTATCCCTGGAGGTAGGGGATGCCACCCTTCCTGGAGGTCTCCAAGCACCACTTTGAGGATATATGATGGCTCAGGCGCAGGGTGGACCAGTTGGCCTCTGAGCTCCCCTCTTACCTCCGAGATGCAGAAAGACCATTTGGAAATTCATGGAAGGTTGAAGAGGCAACTAGAACTTGATAAGGGAAAATGTCTCTTAAAGAAAAGAGTATAATCTTCCAACCACAGTCCACGAAGTTAGCTCCAATCATCAGCAAACCCTGAGAATGTGCTTCTGAAGGGATGGTCAGGCCACCCTGGCCTCGTCTCCTTTTATGGAAAGGGTCACCTGCCTGAGGGATCAAGGAAATGCCTGAATCTCTCGGGTTGCCTTTCTTGACATGAGGAAGAGATGTTCAGCAATAGGTTACCAAGCCAGTCTGCAGGGCAAGGCGTGATAGACCTACAGCAGCCCTAGATTTCAGCCAAGCCTTTGGTTTTCTCCTGCTATTCCTGGGGAGATGGAGAGATGTGAATGGGAAGATAGCACAAGCAGAGAGACTTGCTGAATGGCCGATCCAAAGAGAAGCAATTGCGTCAATGTCGCTCCTCCACAGCACTCCTGGGAACCCACCTGCACATGATTATGAGGAGCGCCCCGTGTGGGAACTGCCGCCCTCAGGCCGACTGCAGCCCATCTGAGTGAATATGCAAGTCGGGGGAGGTTGTCCAGTGCTCAGTAACTTGCCTGGGCTTCCACTGCTATTCGGTATCAGATACCTACGCTGGGATCTGAGCTCGGGTCTCCCTGGCTTCAAGCCTGGACCATCACTTTCTAGCACAGACATATGATAAGAACGCTGGAAATGGGCTGCGAGAGCAAGCTGTCCGGAGCCAAGAGAAAGGATGTGAGCTTCCACGCATGTGGTGTATCAGAAGCAAGAAGATCGGGGTTCAGATCCCTGCTCCTGCACTTCCTACAACCCTCGGGATGGAGAGCGTGAGGTCAGAGTGGCGCCCACGCATGCGACTCCCCCCCCCCCCGTCCAGACACGTCTGCACCTTCCCTGGGCCAAGGGCCCTTACCTAGAGACGTGATGATCACCGTGAAGCGTGCCTCTCCTCGTCGCCCTGTCACGTTGTTATAGGCACAGCACGTGTAATCGGTGCTGCGGCCCAAGTGCTCCGAAGCAACCTCCAGATGCGGCCCGTGCTCGATCACCTGGGTGGAATTGTCGTCCCGCTGAATCCACAAGTAAATGTTGGGGGGGTTGGAGTCTGCAGAGCAGTCAAACCGTACGGCCTCCCCAAGGTCAACAGTGAACACCTCTCCCACTCTCAGGCCTCGGTCAGAATTGACTGTGAGTCCGTAAGGTCCATCTGCATTAGAGGGAGAACAGAGGAGAGGAGGAGTGTCAGCTCGTTGAGACTGGGGGCTGCTGGGCAGCAGCGTTTGGGGGAGGGAGGCGGTAGGACAGGGGCTGAGGCGCCCACCAGACCACGTCGGCCAGTAGTTCCCCTTCACGCCCGTCCCCTAGAACAGCCAGTGTGGGTCCTGTGAGCTCAGCCTCCGCTCATGGAGCTGAAGAAACAGGTCAGACAGGCTTGAAATTCAGGCTGTCGTGCCAGTGCCCCCTCAGAGCTGGCACCCAGAATTGCAGCTGGGGGACGGGGAGAACCATCCTTGCCGAGCTATGTGCCCAGAAAGAAGCTCATCTTGGAACAAATGTGCCCGTGATTGGTCATTATTAGCGCCTTTGTGAAGAAAGCTGCTAAGAGCTGGAGTCGGTGGAGCACCTACTATGGACCAGGCACTATGCTAGGCATTTTTCAGATTTTATCTCATTAGATCCTCCTGAAAACTCCGGGGGGTGGGGGGGGTGCTAGTACTGTCTCCATTTTACAGTTGTAGAAACTGAGGCAAACAGGTTAAGGACTTATCCAAGGTCACACAGCTAGTAAGCATCCGAGGCCCCCATGCTCCCTAAGGTGAGCCTGTAGGACACCGAGGTCCTGGTCACTGCTACTACTTAGCTGTATGACTTTGGGAAAGTCCCCTCTCCTCCTATACTTCAGTTTCCTCACTGGTAAAGTGAGGAGCCAGGCTGGGTGACCCCTCTGACATGCTCTGGCTCTGGGCATACTGGCTGCCCATCCTCCCTGTACCAGGGCGGTTTGTAAAAGAATCACAGGAAGGCACATCTCACAGGACCTTTATACCAAATCCGTGCTGTAGACCTAGCAAGGGTCTCTCCTTTACACTGTCTTAATTGCAGACCACAGGCAGGTTCTCTTGGGGTCATAACCCCTGACTCAGGGTTGTGGGATGGGAGACTTTGGTGGGTGGAGAAGCCGTCCGGGGTGTGGGAATTAGAGCCACTAGAGGGAATTACAAGAAGAAAGGGAAGGTTGCTGGATAAAGGACGGTGAAGGTGACAGAAATGCTCAGGCCCCCCCTGAACGTGTCCCAGGCAGCGCCCCTGCCCCCATCCCTCAGATTGACCCATTGTCACTATTGGCTGAAAGTTGCTGGTGGCCTAGGAGAGAGGGAGCAGAGCAGAGGGAGGCTGTCGCCCTCCTTGGACCCACCACTGTCTGACCTCTTATCTCCTGAATGTGTTCAGAGAACAAAACCAAGCTCCCTTTCCAAGATCAAGGCCAGGCCCTTGTCAGCATCTATACTGCCACATGCAGAGAAATGAGATCTTCCCAGATCCCAGTGTTAGCCAATGCCTTCAGCCCTCCCGAGGGGCTGCGCTACCTGCCTGTGGGCCGACAGAGTCAAAAGGCTCAGGACTGGCAAAGGCAAACAGAGCTAAGCTGCTCACCCCAAGAAGGAGAGGAAGATGAGGAGGAGGCCTCACCTCTTGTCCATCCCTAGAATGTCTCCAGAGTGTCCACTGAGACAGTGATGCTTGGAGCTGGGATTTCAGGAGGAGAGAGAGAGTGACAGAGAGACAGAGAGACAGAAGAGGAGAGGAGAGGAAGAGAGAGAGAGAGAGAGAGAGAGAGAGAGAGAGAGACAGAGAGAGAGACAGAGAGAGAGACAGAGAGAGAGAGAAAGAGAGAGGGAGAGAGGGAGAAGAGACAGAGAGAGAGAGGGGAGGGAGAGAGAGAGAGAAAAGAGAGAGAGAAAAGAGAGGAGAAGAGAGAGAGGGAGGGAGAGAGAGAGAGACAGAGAGAGACAGAGAGAGAGAGAAAGAGAGAGAGACAGAGAGAGAGAGAAGAAAGAGAGAGAGGGAGGGAGAGAGACAGAGAGAGAGAGAAGAGGAGAGGAGAGGAGAAGAGAGAGAGAGAGAAGAGGAGAGGAGAGGAGAGGAGAAGAGAGAGAGAGGAGAAGAGAGAGAGAAAGAGAGAGAGAGAAGAGAGAGAAGAGGAGAGAAGAAGAGGAGAGAAGAAGAGAGAGAGAGAGAGGGAGGGAGAGAGAGAGAGAAGAGGAGAGAAGAGGAGAGGAGAAAAGAGAGAGAGAAGAGGAGAGGAGAAGAGAGAGAGAGAGACACACACACACACAGACACACACTGTCACAGTGAGAGACAGAGGGAGGAGAGAGAAGAGAGAGGACTCATCGGCGTGTGATGGTGTTCATCACCTTCTGCTCATGGACACTGTCCTTCCATGATGCCTCCTCCCTTCTCTCTCTCTCTCTCTCTCTCTCTGTCTCTGTCTCTGTCTCTCTCCCTCTCCCTCCCTCCCTCTTGTTCCTCTGTCTCTCCTCTCTCCTTCCCCCCTCCCTGCTTGGCTGCTTCTTCGCAGTCTCCTTTAATGGCTCATTACTATAGCATTTTCCACCAAGACTCGGTGCTGGACCCCCTTCATGCCTTTAGTGAGCACCTTCTGCCCCCCATCTGAGAACCATGACCAAAGTTACATTGAACAAGGGTGTCTCTGTTGGGTTTTTTTCCAGGAAATATTGCACATTTGCTGGCAGCTTGGGAGTTGGTTTGTGGGAGGAGCTTGTTTATGTGGGTCTGAGTGGGACCCCCATGTCCTCCTGGATGAGAGCGATGAGAGGAGCCATCCAGTTTCCTCCTGACTCTTCCCGGAGGGGCCCTTGATGCTGGATTAGAGGATTCTCTGAGGAATGATAAAGGTGGGAAAGCGGGCCCATCTGGTCAGGAGTCTTGCTTAATGCTCTGAGTCATTTGCTGTCGATGTGATATTAAGAGAGATTGGGGAGGCCTCAGTCAATATGGTGAGTTCTCTATTCCCCTTGATGCGAGAGCAGGGTGTGGGAGGGCACCTCCCAGGAAGGCTGGCGTGGGCTTTGCCACCTCATGAGGGGATGTGGGGAAGGACTCCTCTGGCTTCCAAGGACTGACTCCCTCCCTGTGGTCTGTAAGAGTGAAAAGATTGTGCTTCTCTCTCGCTTTCCCCCATTGGACTTCCAGAACCGAGTGCGACAGCAGAGCTGTTCTGGGGTGGGAGGTGGGTGGAGAGAGCAACTTTCTGTCCCTGTCTCTGCCAACCTTCAGCAGAAGCACATGACAGTGTGTGCTTGTGTGCCTCGGTGGAGGTGGTGGGGGGATACTTAAGAATACTTCCTGAATCCCACTTCCTGCGTAGAGAAGGGGACATTGAGGATCTTTAATTTTCCAGGCAGGGTTCTTTTGGGATCTCACCTTCTGGCCCGAGAAGGGAGGTCACCAAGGAAGCACCAGTTCTGAGAGCTGCTTCATGGGTGACCACCAAGTTCAGGAGTTCCTGAGTTTGACCGACGGGTTGGCTAGCTCTGCACAACTGACATTTTGTCCTCTTTTATCATTTGTTGGAAAGAATGGCTCTTGGGGTGGAGGAAGGGAAATGAAGTGATATAAAAACCAAAGAGGTCAGTGAAAATTAAAAAAAAATTTTTGAGTCCAAGCATTTGGGCCCTGGCCTTTGGGAGGACCAAGATTCCTCAACAGTGTGCTTGTTAGGAAGGAGAGATGTGTCACCAGAGAAGAGCTCTGTGGCAAATGAACCATGTACTGCTGGGACACTGGCAATCTGGTTTGAAGGGGAGGCCTTATTCAGCAGCTCAAGGACATATACCTTTTGGGGGGGAAGGTGATGGACTGTTTGAGTACTTTATGCTTCCATATTTGTTTGTGAGCATTGGCTGAGTGCCTAGCATCCCATGCACTTTCTTCAGGGTGAAACGGAGGCCATTGCATACCACTACTCATATCAAGTGCCCAGGCAGGAACAGGGGACCCTGCTTCCCACATTTGGGAGGCCCTAGATATTAGCTTGACCTAAGCTTTGTTTTGGAGACTTTCCTGGAATAACATTCCAGGATCAGGGCAGAGAGTCAAAGAAAAAAATGAGCCCTCTTAGCTCTGACCCTCAGGAGGAAACCTGTCCAGGTGAGTCAGTGCAGTGCCTTGGAGTAATAGATTTAAATATTAATAGCACTACTAATAAAAATTAAACATTTATATATTTATATGGTAAAAGCCAGAGGTTTCTCTTCCCCTGCATTGGTGTCCATCTTCCTCTGACCCCCACTATCCACAGCATCATGTTGCCACCCCCCCACCCGGACAGAGCTTCCCTAGTCCATTTGGTCAGGGGATTTTCCCATATTCATCATCTTCTGCATTAATCCTTCTGCTCCTGGAAGCATGTCTGACCCTGTGATGTCAGAGTCGCAGCATTTGTCCTGGGGATAAAAAAAAAAGACAGATCCTTTCTTCTTCCTCTCAAGTCAACAAGCCCTGGGCCTCAGAGAGTCTCCTGCCCAGCTGCCTTGAATTTGCTTCCCTCCATGCCTTCTTACTGCTTGATGAGGCACTGTGCCCACAGTTGCCCAACCCCAAATCTTCTGTCAGAGGATTTCTAGAGACTCCGTCTCCTGTGCCCTGGGGGTGCCCGTGTTTGCCACATCTCCCCATGCGGTGGTTTGGCAAGCATTTGCTGTCCAAGGGGCAGACGGACTCCCAGCTCTCAGGCTCGGAGCTAGGGCAGCTGATTTCCACCAATGGAGCTTGGGTCAAATAGATGCTTGCTCCATGACCTCCACCTTCCAGAAAAGCTTGGAACGCTTCTGTCAAAGGGGCCATTTGCATGGCTCATCCTGAGGGCCTTCTGATCCTTCCCGGCTGTGCCCGCCTGGAATGGGATCTTTGGGAATCCCAGTTCCCCTCCACCCCCACTCTGTGTTGATCCCCATATCCCCCTTCCTGGAGGCCTCGGGTTTCCATCTGTGGGAGGCAGTGACAGCCAGGGGCCCTGGCTAAATGCCAGCCCCTGTCCCGGACATGGGTTGGGGCCTCCCAGGATCCCTGCCCGCAGGCTGCAGGGCCTCCATAGTGCAGATGCCACTCCCTAGTGCAGGGTGATTAAGACGCCCCACGCCTGCCATATGCTCCCAGCAGGGTGGTGGTGGCCGTGCCCACACAGTCACTGGTGGTTAATGGGAACAGGTGATTCATCAGCGGGCAGTCCTTGAGGAAGCAAGCACTTCTCCCTGGACAAAGGACTGGTTCCAGTGTGAGCCCTTCCCAGCAGGCCCACGGTCCCCAGAGGGGCTGGCCTTTCCCTGTTGGGCACTTTTACAATTCTAAGGAACCACCTCTGGGAGCAGAGGGAGGGCACATGGAACCACAGTGAAGACGCTAACAGGCCTAATAATGACAACGACAGTCAGCACAGATGGAGACACGCTTTAGCTTTCGGACCTCACGGAGGGAGCTGGGGGAGGCCTGGGGCTGAGGGCGGTCAGCCCCCAATCGGGGGATCCTTCCCCAGTGCTGGTCTCACACCAGCGCTGCCCAGTGAGCTACCCAGGTCCTCCTGGGCCAGCCTAGCAACCTTGCTGGGAATCCCAGTGTTCTCTCAGAAGATGGATGCAAGGTACAGGAGAAGGCCTGAGGAAGCACAGCCAATAGGAGAGTCAGCTCCCTGGCCACCCTAGAGAGCCAGTCCCAGGGAGGCCCATGCCCTCCTGGCTGCACCACCCCAGCCAGGTATCCCTCCAGGGGGCTCGGGGCTGCTTCCTAGGGAACATCCATGAGGATGATGAAGGCGTATGGACCACTGACCATTTAGGGGGTGTGAATCCCACCCGAGACCCTGACCAGCTTCCTGGCTGACCTACTTCCTTTCTCTGCACCTTGACTTCTCTGTGTATGAAACAGGCTCAGCCTTCCAGGGAGCACGGTGAGGATAGGAATTCTTGCACTCCCATCATCACCACCACCATTATCATTGTCATCACCTTCATCACCCTCACCGCCGTTACCATCAATTATTAGTTTCATGACAAGGAGGTCCATCTAGAAGTCAGACCAGCTTTCCCCCAGCTGGCCTGAGCCCAAGGTTGACCTCTGGTGACATGGGGGGGGCCAAGAGGGAAGGCCCCAGTGTAGCTGCTGATTCTGAAGGGCACTGCTGAGGCAGCCAGACCAGGCCTCTGGACATCTGGGCAGGCCCTGGGCCCTGAGATTCTGCTGCCCCCTCTGCTCAATCCTGAGCATCCCAGTCCAGGGGCATCCCGCTCCCTCTGCGCCCCCGTCCAAGAGCTCATGGCACCTCCCCTGCTGTGGAATCCATGCAAACAGAGACTTGGTGGTCTCTGGTGCCAGGCCAGACGGAAGGCTCAGGACGTTGCCAGGGCCTCAACACTGCCCTCTCTCACCATTCCCTTAACACTACTCTTGGCTGTAGGCCCCTTTTGTCCTCTGACCCTGCCCCCACCCTAGTGCAGGCCCTCACCACCTCACACATGGGCAACTGCCACAGCTGCTGGGGGGTTGGGTCTGCCTGCCTCCAGGCTTTCCCCACTCCATCCATCCTCCATTCAGAGTCCCTCTCTCACTCAGTATGAACTGCTGTGGCTCCCTGGGGCCTCCAGAGTCAAATATAAAACCTCTGTTTGATCCCTAAAGACCTCTGCGGTCTGGCCCATTCTGCCATTCCCATTTTCCCAGCCAAACGGGTCTGTCTCGTTCCCTGAACGGAGCATCCCATCCCCACTTCCTCAGTTCCTGACTTGGTACCTTGGTCCCGGGAACACCCTCTCCTTGCACTGGGTCCAGAGCACAGTGCTGTGAGAAGCTGAAGATGCAGACCAACCCGCTGGGGGAGTCCTGGGGGTGGGGGAGGGAGGTCCGAAGGCACCTAACCTGGGCTCCTAACTTGAGGCATCGAGGCCGGCTTCCTGGAGGAGAGAGCCTTGGTGTGCAGTCTGAATGGCTGAGCAGGAAGCCAACGGATGGAGCGGAGGGAGGACCTTCCAGGCCCATTCTGCCAGGAGCTGGACCACCCTGCTCAGAGAATCCTGGGACCCTAATTCTAGAGGTGGAAGGAAGCCCAGAGGCTACCATTCCAACTTAGTCATTTTACTGAAGAGGAAACTAGAGGGGCCCATAGGCGGGCAGGGGCCCGAAGGAAGCCCAGGCCCGGCCTTCTTTGTGCGCCCTCCTTCTGAGGAGCGGAACACTTACAGTAGATGACAGGCGCCAGGGCCTCGCTTCGCCTCTCGCCAATGGAGTTCCTTGCCAGGCAGCGGAATTCCCCAATGTCGGCCTTTGTCACAGGGGCGATGTGAAGGGTGCCGTGGTCGAGAGAGAAGCTGTGGGTCGTGCTGGCCTGCACTGGCTTCTCGTCTTTCAGCCACTGGTATGTGACTCGCGTGCCCGCGGCCACAGCGCACGTCAGCGTCAAATTGCCCACGTTCTCCACGGCCCCGGAGGAAGGGTGAGTGTGCACGATGGGTTTTGTCACGGGATCTGCAAGGCCACGAGAGTGCGTGAGTTCTCCCTGAATCTGTCACTGCTTCCTAACCCGTCACTCCACAGGTCCCTAAGAGGCGAGGGTTTGCAGCGCTCCTCTGGTGAGATCGCCTTTGCTTGGACACTTTCATTTGGGGTATTGACTTTTGGACAGCTGTGGCCAGACCAGGTGTCCACTCAGGATTTCTGACTGGCTCAGTCGCCCTGGCCAATCCCCCACAATCCCAGCCTCTGACAGCTGCCCAAATGTGGCCTCAGATGCATGCTAGCAGCGTGACCCTGTGCAAATCACTTCCCATCCCTGCCTCAGTTTCCTCACCTGTAAAATGAGGATAGTACCTACCTACCAGGATCAAATGAGATAGTAATTGTAAAGTGTTCAGCATAGTGCCTGGCACATAGTAGGGGCTTTATAAATGTTAGCTGTTATTATTATTATTTTTCTTTATGTTGCCTGCCCCTCAAGAACCAGGAAGCGGGAGGGCCCTGGATGAGGGAAGGCCTCTTGCGTGCTCAGTGGCCAGGGGGATGGCTTTTGAGCCACAGGCGGGCCAGGTGCTCAAGCTGAGTCACTAGTCTGGGATTTGAGGTGTCAGAGGAGGGGTCAGCGTGACTAGCTAAGCCACATTGCCCATGGGAAGGTGCTCACCATCCACAGTGACGAGAATCTTCTGATGAGCAGACACAGTCCCGTTTCCTTGCATGTTCACATTGACCTTGACAATGTAAGTGCCCTCATCGCTGAAATGGAGTGGCTGGATGCGCAGGGATGCGTTGGGTGGCACCATGGCGAACTTGTGCCGGTACTCCAGATCGGGGACTACGGACCTGTTCACTGAGCCTAGCAGGTATTTGGGAGTGGTCTGAGGCCTCTGGAACAGCCATATGATCTGGACGTCTGAGGCTGGGGTCTGGAAGCTGTAGGTCACTGGAAGGTAGAGCGCTTGACCCCGGACGCCGTGGACTGTGGCCGAGGGCACGGTCACTGTCAGCCCCGAACAGGTGCCTGGGAAGGAAAGAAAGACAGAGGAGGCCACTGTCAGAAGCAGCGTCTAAGCCACGGCAGCGGGCCATGGCAGATATGCCTGGTTCTTCTTTAAACCAGGCACTCCTGGCCTTGGCCCCACTCCAGGCTGGGACCCTTGGGAAGACTGGTTCATTGCAATGCCCAGCGCCAACCTTCTAAAAATGCAGGAACATTAGTGAGACCTGCCAGATTACAGTGGGTGGACTGACTAGAACCGAACAGACCGGGAATCACGGCATTGCATCAGGCTGCAGAATCCTGGAGCCCGCCTCTAAAAGGTCCATCTGCTTGTTCATGGGGTAAAATCAATGGGGTTCTTAGCAGTCACCATTACCCGCATTAGACTGGCCTTTTCCCAGCTCTGAGGCTGTCTTCTGACGCCTTCCTCCTTTCCTGGACTCTGGGATCAGCCCTCCCTCCTGGCTCTTCTACCATGGCCCAACTCCATCCATTTCCTTTTTTTTTTTCTTTAACGGCATTTTCATTTGAAGTGGTCTTAAGTCAGTGCCCAAGGAAAGCTCCTCCCCTCCCCCAAGCCAGGCACCAATCTCTTGGAAGTCTGGGGACTTCCCATCAAAGGAAAAGGAACAAATGTTAGAGTGGAGGATGCAAAAATACGCATTTTAAGAATGACATCATTTATGTGTAAGCAGCGCGATGCCCTCCCTCCCCTTGAGAGCAGGGACGTATTCACCTTTCTTGATGTCTCCAGCGCATAGCACACAGTAAGCACTTAATAAATGCTCATAGACTGACTGAGAGCCTGCCCGCAAGACACCCTGGCAGGAAGCAGATGGCAAAGGGTCTGGGGGACGGCAGAGGAAACTGCATTTTATCCTAAAGACAATAGGGAGACCCTGAGGGTTACCATCTGGTCCTGCCTAAATGCTTTCTGTCATTTCTCTTACCTCCTCCTTACCCGCTCTACTTTCTGGACAAAGTGCCTCTGAGAAGCAGCTTGGGAGGGCGGAAAGAACCCCAGCCCTGGAGGCAGCTGGGCTGGAACCCTCACTCCCATGCATAGAGACATGGTGTGGTGGCTGGTGTGGGCCAGCTTCTTGGAGCTACAGAGCAGTCCTGAAGGGTTCAACCGCCCTCACACCAGAGGGGCTGGTCCTCCCCAAACACTCCATCCATGG